ACGCTCATGAACTCTCCCGGGGTTTCACAAATGACTCCGCAGTGCCATTTGGGATTTTTGCTCTAAGTGAGTACGACAGAGCCACGCTCCCTTAATTGTCACTGCTCTGTCACAGATCAGTTTCCTAACGCCCCTCCCTTACGACGACCCCCAGGAGTGGCTGCGTGAAGCCGCTCTGATCCTCCCCGCTGGAAGGTGTGCGCCCCCACCCCACCCCGCTGTGCCCCCTGCTGCCGTGGGAGACCAGGGCGGCCTGTGTCCACTGGGCACGTGAGGGTGAACTGTCCCAAAAACCCCACGTTGTGTTTCCGTGTCGTTCCCTACCTTGTTCTCGGAGTTCTCGTCTTCTCCTCCCAGGGGCTGGCGTGCTTCATTCTTCATCCGGCTGTCAGGAAGGAAACTAAAGACAAACTCGTTTTTTATGCACGTTTGATAACCATCCAACAACCTGCGTTCGGGTCCCCGGGCTCAACCCCAGGACTGAGCCGATTCATAGACAGGGTCTAATAAAGAGGTGGCGGGGGGGCTGGGGGGCGGGTGATACTTTTTCAGGACAAGTCAGAAAGGTTCCCCCACTCTCTCTCCGGCACATCACTCAAGCAATCGTCAATTTGGCACGGTGTCCTCTGTCTACTGCTCAGTCGGGCCTGTTGACAGAGTGTTCAGGGAGTGAACTCCGAAAGTGAGAGGCCGGAAGGGCTTTGGTCCTGGGCTTTTGGTCCTGGGCGGTAGCCAGGGCTTCTCCCTCATCTTCCTCACTTTTCTAAAGCCCATGCGGCCTTGAGGCACACCCACTTCTCTCTCCCTCCCCAAAACGCAGGATGTCTATCTGCCCGGGGCGACCACAGGCTCTACTCAGACTCTGATGGGACAAGGACCCTGTTAACCTCATTCAGTGAAGTCTGATGAGGTGGGTGTCAGCAGGGCCTGAGTCTCCGAGTCCCTGTTAGTAGGGGCCACCAGGACCAAAGAGGGTCTGGCAGACTGACCGAAGCTTTGATGATGGTGGGGACCCTGTTGTATCAGCTGGTGGGGACCCTGTCCTTTGTTTTGGTCCCTGCTACTCCTTCAGACAAATCTGATTTTGGACCGGACAGCTGGCATGTTAGCTTCATGTTCCGCTGGGAGCCTGGGAGGCACAAGGTGGGTTTAGGACGAACGCCACTTGGCCACAGGTGAAAGGGACCAAGGAGCCTTAGAGACCCGCAGTCATAGGCCGTTCACAGGCCTCCTGGAAATTACATCTTGCAGATGCTTTGGAGGGGCCACGGTCTGGCCGGGCTGGGGGGGGGGGGCAGCGAGCTTTCTCTGGGCAGGGAATGATTTGAAAAAGAAGAGGCGTGACCGGGTATGGGGAATTTCGGGTCTAGCCAATTAGGTTAGCCTCCTAAAAACACATTTGTTGTTTTGCTTAACACCAACCTTCCTGCATAAAAATGCAAGGTGATTTCTCAGAGTATGCGCTGACCCTCTCACCAAGCAGGAGTGAGCCCTGACTAAGAGGAAGAAATACTTAAAAAACAAAACAAAACACGATGAAGGATACTGGGCCCCAGTTATTTCAATAAGCTCATTAGATCCGAGAAAGGCTTCTAAACAGTCTGTTACAGCAGAAGACTAAAAACACAGGGAGGCAGTGTGTGAAAACCACTGCATTTTATAAGTATTTTTTTTGTGGAAACCTGAGTCTGTGAGAACGCTTTAGATCCTGAAGAAAACCACAGGGGGATTTCAAAAAGAATCCAAAGAAAGCCTGCATCTGAAAGAAGGAAAAAAAAGCCCCAGGAACAGGCCCAGGTTGCAGCACTGGCCAACGACCTCAAGCAAACGGTGGAAACCAAACACCACCGCAGCGATGCTGGGCATCTCAGCAATGGGAGCTCACGTTCCATGTCCACTCCACGGTCACTTGCGGCCGGGAGTCTGCCAGGGCTTGGCTGCGACTCAAGAGAGCAGAAGACTACCGGACACCCGTTGTCTGACAAGGGATTTTAAGAGCACACAGTCCACGCATGATAATCATGCTTTACGTTGAAATAATGTGACACAGCTCATTACCACATCTTTTGGAGAAGCATGGATGCCTTCACTGACTTACCTTGCAGAAGTCTTTGATCAGAAGTCCCTGACATATCATCTCTGAGCTTTTGTTTTATTTGCCTATGAAATGGGGTCCTCTCATGTTTTTATTGCCCAAGGCTGTTTCAAGGGACAAATGGGACTCTGTGAAAGGCTTTCATAAATACAGTAAGAATGTGCTATCATTATGCAGAATTGTTGCTACTACCTGTTCCTAATAACTCTAGGGTAGTTTGTGTATCTCCTTCTTTTGGGTCAATAGGGAATAGACAAAGCAGCTTCCTACTAGTTTTTCACTCATATACATATATGAAAGGATGAAAGGTCAAAGGATGAATATATATATGGTGAATTCTAAACTTTAACCTACCTACATAGAAAAAAGTGTTTTGTGAGAGAAATCTGGGGGAAATTGAATTTTAAAAGAGAGGAAGGAATTTTGGCCTTTGAGAAGCATGAGATACTACAGGGAGACAGAAAAGGAAAAATGATGAAAGTCCCTTTTAATTCTACAAATCTGGCCTGCCAGGCCAACCCCTCCCACTGCACCGGACAGCTCAGTGGAAACACTGTGAGCACAGAAAAGCAAGTGCACAGGGTCAGGGAAGGGCGCCAAGGTGCCCACTGTGTGGTGTGACTGCAACTGGGGGCCTGCAGGGGCTGCCACTCAGCTCCTGGGGACTCACTGTTGGAACAGTGTCGTGGCAGAATGGCCAGTGGGACGTGTGGCATTTGTATGCACAAGTTTAGTAAGTGCAGCATCTACCACGAAATTCTAATCTAGCAGTCCCTTCGCTTCTTAAAACACGAGGGAATCCACCCAAATTAGGTTTCCAGAACTGTTTAAGCCACTAAAAGCATTCAAAAGGGCAAGAGAAACGTGGAAACCGTCCATTATTGGACAGTGCTGAATAAGAAAAAAAGGCTTCTAAACTCTTTTAGATATTCTAGAGTTTTAGTCATCCTATTGAGTCTATCTATCTGTTTATCTATCTAACTAATCTTTTCCCCTTTTAAAAATCCCTGCAGGCAGCATGGGGAACACAGTCCATAAACTGCAATAATGTGTATGATGCCATGTTGCTGGCCTCGGGGTGATCATTTTGAAAGGGGTGTAAATATCTAATCACTGTGTTGTACACCTCACACTAGCTAGCACTCTACGTCAACTATAATTTTAGAAAATCTCTGTAATGTTAAGCTGTTTGGGCAATAAAACCAGAAAAGGCATATATCTATACACCAACACACACACATTTTAAAAGCAACAGATGAACCTGCATGTCACAAATTCGGAGCCATGTCAAAGGATGGTCATTTGGTCTGCATTTTCAGCAGTGGGGAGGTGGATGTCTTGTTTTATAGGCCAGGATGTTAGTAAAAGACCCCATCCCAAATGTAAGTCCTCATCCTTCCTCCTCTCCCCTCCCCAGTGAGTGGCCCCAACCCACACAGGGCACTTGGGCAAAATGCAACCTGGTCAGAAATGGCCAGCCTGGCTCTCTGAATTCAGATTCATGGTCTGAGCTTGGTCTCCTGGGCTATGACCCCAGGGGACAGAGGCATTGCAATGCAACTTGGACTTCATTAAAGTCAATGTTCCACCCCCAGCCCCCTGGAACAGGGGACACTTCTCAAGTTCTGAAGACTCGGCCCCAGACGGTTTTCTCTGCAGGGTTGATGTTACATAATCTTGGGTATAAGCTTCCAGTATGGATTTGAGGGGGCAGTGCTCCCCACTCTGCACCCCACCCCCCAGAATAGAGGGCTCAAGATGGAGCAAAGGAGACTTTGGTAGAGACCTGCTGGGAAAGGCTTCATTTCACAAATGAGGCCATCGAGGCCCTAGCAGGCAAGGGACACTGCCCATTAGGGGCCAGGCCCACACTGCCATTGGGCTCTTCTGTCCTCACCGAATTGTGTCCCCCTTCCCAGTAGAGGCTGGCTTCCCAGAGCTATATTTGGGATATTGAAAAGGGACTGTCATGGCAAAATCTGTTGTCTGCAGGGAAACAGTGCATTGTCATTTGAGGCTCTGTGGCTTTTAGTGCAGTTGACGCATCGAAGCATAAACCACCTCCCTCCTGTAGGTTTCTGGTAAAACAATGACATCATTATCTCCCTGGGTGGGCGTAAATGACCATCACATTTAAAACTACGATTTGTGAGAGACGCACGTCACAATAGCACACAGTGACATTGACAGTTATGCCATTCATGAAAACCATCACATATTATAAAGTATTTAACAGACATGTAGCAAAGCCTTAGAAATTGTGATCTTCAAATCCCTCGAAGTCTTAGAGACTCAATTAAAGAAATGAAGATTGTGGAGTTTCACTTTTGAAATTTTCATTTAAGCTACACATTCAGACCATTGCTAATTACTGTTTTGATTTAACTGTGGCCCAAGGAGTCAACACCCCCAATTTGAGCTTAGGAGTCTTGAGGCAGCAAAAGGGGGTGGGGATTGGGAGGGGCCAGGGAAGGACTTGAAGAGAGGCAAGGGGGGCTTGTTGGGGGGGGCTGGAGAGGTGGAGGGGGCAGGCAGAGGGCCCCCAAGGTACCCTTCTAATGTGATTATTTAAACACAAGACCTTTGATATTTTTTAAAACCCCAACCCATCTGCAGAGGGTCTTACCTTTGAGCCTCTTTGCCCCCAGCTAAAGCTGCTTGAAAAGATTCACATGCAAATATTTATATTTTTCAAAAGTCATAGTCAGTGTTACCACATTTTGCCCGCACACTTAATATACACTCGGAGCATTTTTTTAAAGTTTTATTTTAATTGCATTTCAAACACAAGCCGCCAGTTCACTCCCAAGTCACAACCCCTCTTTTAAGCCAAGCCCCTCCTACTGCACTAGGGTGAAAGTGTAAACGATTGGCTTACCTCAGGCTCGTCCCTAGGGAAAAAAAATTATTTCATATTTTCAAGGCACAGCCACACCCACCCCCTGGAACCAGCCCCGTTTGGTTTGGACCCAGACTCGCCTACAGCAGGTTTGCGTGGGTTCCCCTTCCCGCATCCCTCCACGCCCCCACCGGGCGAGCCAGGTGTGTGCAGAATACCGAGCGTCTGCGTGCAGACCCCGGCGCCCCAGATACCTGAGTGTCTGGTTTTTCAACCGTAAAGGCGGGAGGGTTTGGCGAACGAATGAGAAGTGAGGAAACGCTTAGCGCAAAGGGGAAAAAGAGAGAAAGACACACAGGAAAAAACGGTTATGGAGGCCGGCGGGAGGCGGCCCCTCTCCCCGCAGCCCGGGACCCAACACATTACCCAAGACGTCCCACCACCGTGTCTGCGGTTCCCGCGCCGCCGCTGCAGAGCGCCGGCTCCCAGGTGCCGCCAGAGTACGCGAACACGGAAAGTTTTTGCCCGCGCCATGGCGCACAACACAAGACAGCCAGCTCCGCGATACGGTACGCAGTCGGCGGGTGATTTGGGGGTGCCAGGGGTACACTTGAGCATGTCATGCACAGGCGGACACAATATGGACACCAACACACACCAACAAGAAGCCATCTGAGTCCAAGCAGCCGTGCCAGGCGAGGCAGGGGCGCACATTCCCCAACGACCCCCGCCCGCCATGGCCCCAATCAGCTTAGCCGGGGGGGAACCCCGAGGCCCCTCCCCGGCAGTTCCTGGCTCACCTGTGGCCCCCGCCTTCCTGGCTGTCCCCCACCCCAGGACACGGGGTCGTCTTTTGGTCGCGGACGCTGGTTTGTCCAGCTGGAAACGACCCTCAGTGTTGTAGGGTACCACTTTGCTCCCTGGAGGGTATATACTTCGACCACCCAAGCCCCCCAGCAGCCCCCCAACCCACTCCCCAGGCAAAGTTGGGGCCCCTCACTGGAACTTCCTAGCAGGCTCTTCCGGCCTTTGCCCAGACACCCTCCTCCCGCCGCCAGGCCCCGAGCCCAGCCGGGCAGCCCTTCCACCCGCTCCCGGGTCCCCGGCGGCCCTGCTCCCCACGGGCACAGTCCGCCGCGTTACCTAGAAGCAGCAGGCGGTACGAGTACGTGTAACCCATCTTCTCGTCCTGGAGCTGTTTGTCGATGAGCTTGCTGCGCTGCTTCTCCGCGCGCCTCTGAGCGCGCTGCTCCGGGGTTTCCTTGCGCTTCTGCCTGCGCTTCTCCGCCAGGGGAACATTCTTGACCTTGGGGCTGCACGGGGCTCTGGGCTCGGCGCTCTCAGATCGGCCGAAGCAGCCCGTGAAAGCTCGCACGAGGAAGTTGCGGAGCAAGTTACGCTGCGGCTTTCCGCGGCGGTGACCGCACCGGGACTGGAAGCATTTCGAGCATCTGAGGGTCCCATCCTCGGACTCATCGCTGCTGCTGACCGACCCTTCGTCGCAGTGGCGGCCTCGCTCGGACCTGCCCCGCCAGGCATACGCGCGCGGAGGCTGCGGAGTAGGCGGATCGGCAGCCTGGATCTCCGGGCTGGGGGGTCTGAGGGTGCGTATGAGCTTCGGGCGGGCTCCGGAACCAGGAACTGCCCAGGCGACAGGCGCGGCTGAGGCTGCCCGGGCAGCAAGCATGGCTGGGGTGAGTGGGGCGGCCCCAGCGGCTGAAATACTGGAGGTAGCAACCGCTGCCCGGGCGGCAAGGGCTGCCCGGGCGGCAAGGGCAGCCCGGGCGGCAGGGACTGCGCGGGCGGCAACCACTGCCCGGGAGGCAGGGATTGCCCAGGCGGCAGGGGATGCCCGGATGGCAGAGGCTGCCCGGATAACAGGGGCTGCCCTGGTGGCAGGGGCTGCCCGGGCGGCAGGGGCTGCTTCGGTGGCAGGCGCGGCCGGAGCGGCTGGAGCGGCCTCGGCTTCTGGAGTGGCCCCGGGGTCTGGAGCAGCTCCGGTGTTTGGCACTGCCCCAGCTTCTGGAGCGGCCCCGGCGTTTGGAGCGGCCCCGGGGTCTGCAGCGGCCCCTGCGGCAGGAGCTCCATCTCCCGGAGAGGGGACTTGGCGTCCCTCCGCAGCGGCGGCGGCTGAGTTGGCTGAGCTTCCTTCCATCTCGGCTGCTTCGCCCTCGACTGGGGGTCTCTCTGCCTCTGCTCGCTCTCTCTTAACTGGGGCTCTCGAGACCTCGATGGGCGGGCCGTCAAGCGCGATTGGGGGGCTGTCCATGTTGACGGGAGCGTCGTGGACCACAATGGGGGCGCTGCGGATCTCGAGCGGGGGTCCGGAGATCTCCATTGGGGGGCTGCCGCCCACGAAGTATGGAATAGGTCTGACGGCTTCTCGAGATGAGCTGCCGATTGCGTAGGGGACCCAGAGGGGGGGCTCGTTCGTGGTGGGAGTGAGGAGGACCGCACTCGGCACCGCAAGTGATGAGAACTGGCTGCCGCTGCCGTGGCCGGTTTGTAGGCTAGCTCTGGGAAGCCCGGGGGGTGAGCTGTCGTCCCCGAAGGCTGCTCCATCAAACTCAAATGGCATAGCCTCCTCAGGGGGAGGGCTGCCTCCTCCGAAGCCTGCGCTTGCTGGTCTGAGGGCTTGGGGCTCCTCGGGGGGAGTGCTCGAGACCCCCACTCCCGGGGCTCCTGGAGCGATGTCTGAGACCTGCAAGAGATGCTGGCTGCCATCTGCCTGGGGAGGCTGTTCAGACTCATAGGGCATGGCTTCTTCGGGCGGAGGGCTGTAGCTTCCCAGGCCTGGTCTTGCCTCCCTGAGTGCTCTGGGCTCCAGGAGCACTGGCCTGAAAGCCTGGAGGCCTGCCCAGGCCACACTGGTATCTCCAGGCTGCTCCAGGGTCGGCCAGAAGCCTCCCGAGCTGGGCTGCTCGACCTCAAAAGGCATGGCTTCCTCCGGAGGTGGGCTGTAGCCTCCACGAGCTCTGGCTTCCTCCACGCCTTCGCCAAGGCCCTGGAAGCCGGGTCCGGAGACTTCTGGGGGTCCACAGGCCTCGCCTTCTGTCTCGATGGGGATGGGCTCGCTGTGAGGCGGTGGGGTCTCCATCCCTTCGGCTGCGCTAGGCCCAGCACCGGGGGCAGCTGCCCCTGGGGCCTCCAAAGGTGGCTGCTCCTCGGGCTGTTCCCCGAGTTCAGGGGGGATATTGCGTTGTCCTGACATATCGTTGCCGTCGAGGCGGTCGCACACGCCCATAACACGGTGGCGGACTCTTAAAATAAACTTGGGGCCCCAAAAGATGGAGCACCCAGCCAAACTAGGGTGAAGAAAATGTTTTCCAAGAAAGTCAAAGAACCAGCGAGAAAGTTCTCCAGTCTCACTTGCCGGCCCTTGTGAGGTCTCAGGGGTCAGGGCCTCCAGCCGCAGACGATGGCAGAACCACCTCCGTTGTTGCTGGTGGGGTCTTATCTTCTCCTGGCCACTTTTTATGCCCTCAGACTGCCCCCGGGGTCCCCCACCCCCTTGGCCTGGCCTTGTTCCCTCCTCTTTCTGTCTCTGTCTCTCTGTCCTCCAGGCCAGCCCCGCCTGCTTGGATCTGAGGAGCGTGTCGATTCGGTCCGAAAATCGCTCGTAGTGCTCTCTCTCTGCCACCAGGGGACGCCGGCCTGGTGCCCAGGCAGCTGCAGGAGCCGGCTTCTGTCTCCAGAAGCCCTGGACTTTGGGTCAGGGGGCGAGGAGCGCAGGTCTCGCAGGGACGCTTCAGCTCCTTCCACTCCTCTCCCTGACTGATTGGGAGCCCTCCCTCCTCTCTTCTCCCCTGGCCAGAGAGAGAGAGCTCTCCTGCGTTGCGGGACACGTGACGCAAGACGTGGGCCCCGGGCAGCAGGAGCGCAGGAACCGAAACCCTCCCTCCCAGACACAACAGACTCTCCCCGGGGGGAGGAGAGCTGCGTGACGGTTTCTTCACCTTAAAGGACCTGTCGATTCAAGGGCTGCAGCCCCCAACCCCGGGGAGCCTTCGATCCTGAGCCCCTAGTTCAGAACGCAAGGTTTTGGGCGCATGGGAAGGGGGCAAAGGCATGTGCGAGAATGCGACAGGTGGTCGTGAGCCCACCAGTGGAGAGAAGGCGGCGAGGGGTGCAGGGATGGCGCGTGTGTGCGCACAATTTTTTAAAAACGCCTTGGGGTGCTTTCCGCCGCTTCTGCGGCATTCGTTCGCCGACTTGCCAAGGCTGACTCCGTAAAGCACTTCATGTTCCCATTCCCACCAATGCTCTGGGGGGGGGGGGTCTCCGCAGTGGCCGAGGGCAACGCAGTCCAGGTTCCCCTCCATTTATGTGGACAAATGATTCAGGGAATAAGAGGGTCTCGGGCACGTACCACGGAGACCTTGTAAACAGGAGCCGTGGCAGCACGAAACAGGGGGTGCGGGATGCGCACGGGGACCCCACAGAGTGCAGGCCTCAGAGTTCCAGGGGTCCAACTGCTCTGGGGAAGGGTTAAAGAGGATTTCAGTCGGGATTTATGGCCGATTTACGGTGGTTTCAGAGAATGGTCAACCCTGTGCGCACCGAACCCAAAGACACACATCGTATCTTGCCGCGCCGCGCCGAGCCGCGCCGGCAACAGCTGCCGCGATGCGCGGCTGCCCGCCTCGGGTGCCGGCCGTAGGGTCGGCCAGCCAGATCCTTCCTCTGGCTCTTCTCCAGCCCCTCTCCAACCCGCCGCTCTCCTCTCATTACGGGAATCTCCAGGTAGCCGCTTTTACTTTCCAATCACAAGAACCCGCTGAGGCGCCCCTAAACCTGGTCAAAAAACCACCAACCGCCAACTGCGCTCCCGTCTCCATGGCGCGTGGTGGGCTCAGAGCTCGCGGGGAGGGGGTCAATACCACACTGCCTAGGCAAGTTTTACATGATCCACGCATGTGTGCGTACTGGTCTGGCTCTGGGGTCTGTGGTGGGATTTGAGCCCCGGGAAATTTTTGCTACTTGCAGATCACGTAAAACCCGGGACATGGGCATCAGGTCTCTTATTAAGAGGGTGACACGGGCTTGCGAGCCACTTTTAGGTTCAGGTGCAAGGCAGCTGGGCAGGGGAAAAGCGGTCCCCTGGCCTGCGGGCGGGGAAGGGATGGCGGGATGAGTGGAACACAAGGTGGGCTGCCGCAAGCGAGGCGTGTCGCGGTACCAGCGCGTCGTGGTACCAGCGAGCCGCGGTACCAACGAGCCGCGGGCGGGCGAACCACTCACAATCCAATCTCATTCAATCTCACGCTTCCCTTGTAGAATGAGAAGAGCACAGCGCAGCCGCGCTCCCGCATCTGCCGCCAGTGTTGCCGCGCTGCGCGGAGGAAAGCTGATAGCCTCAGCCTGGGCAACGTTTGGGGTCTCGCAAAGGTGTATCATCTCAGCTCTGTGAGTTTACACACTTCCAAATGCCAACACTGAACTTTGGCTCAAACTTTAGTCAACTACATCCACGTACAATGGTTCAACTATTTCAGCATCCACTCTATTTGCCAACTGGATCCCAACAGACAACTCGCTCCCCTCCGACCCCAGGGCTGGGTCAGCCATTGGGCTGGGGTCACGCCAATCAAGGCTGGTTGGCGAATGAGCAGGGGGCATTGGACCGGAAACCGGATATGAGTGGGAGGTCCAATAGGGGGCGCGGTGTTGGAACGCCCTAAGAGGTTGTGCTGTTGGGGTGTTTGGAGATCAGTTGGGGGGTGGCGTAGGGCAGTCAGACCCCAGGCACCACGAGGCCGGCTAGCATCGTGGGGGTCACTTTAACTGACTCCAAAAACTCACAAAGTGGTCGGGAGCTCTCAGGGGCCAACCCCTGGTCTCCCTGATGGCGCTGGACAAACACACCTCACCCAGGGGACCACTGCTGAGGCGAGAACGGAGATTTCCAGGGCCTGGAGGGAGAAGGCCAGGACCCTGAGGGAAGAGAGGGCTGACCGCCCTGGTGCAGATGAGCAGCCCCGATGGATAAGGAGTTGAGGCCCCGGGGATGCTGAGCTCTGCCGAAGTGCAAGGTCAGTAGATGTTGGGGTTGGAGCCCCAGGGAGGCCGCAATGGGTCCCAAAGGGACCGTTGTACTTGCCAGGCCTTGCTCTTTCCCAAAACACTATTTATCAAGCAGGGGGTAGGGGTCTCTTTGTTTGACACCCCGGCGGGCCCATAGGCTGCCTTTGTTCCACGCTCTTTCTGGAGAGCACTGCTTTGAGGGGATCAAGATTGGGCGAGTTACCATTCGAAAGGGTAAGCAGCATAGAGATGAAAGAACTTTGATTGGGTGGACCCTAAAAGTCGTGATGGAGACAATGGCAGATCAAAAGGGCTTCCTTCCTTGGAGGGACAGAGGGCTTGACTATGAATAGGAAGTGGGGGATGGGAGGTGTTGACCCAGGAGGAGGAAAGATGGTAGCACACTGGGGTACAGGGCTGGGTAGGGCCAGCAGGCTACCAAGCAGCAGGAGAGGAGGCAGGGAAAACCAGATGGGGGCTCTCCCAGGACACCAGGAATATCAGGACAAGCAGTTTTGAGGCTATTCTGGTAGGAAATGGCACTGCAGACAGTCTTCTCGGTTGTCCCGTGGGTGAAGAGTTGAGGCTGGTGTTAGGACTGGTTGGGGCAGCGTGTAGAGTATCTCGGAGAATGCAAGGGGTGGAGGCCTGCACCTGGGGAAGGAAGCAGGAAGGCTGAAAGAAGGACTCTCTAGCAACTTGAGTGCTAAAATGGCCTAGAAAGCAGCAGAGCCAACATTTGGCTCCTGGATGATGAAATCCAAGTGGAAAGGGAAGTCGGCAGGAGCCGACCTGGGGTTTGATGGGCAGAGGTGAAGGGTGGGCAGTCTAGGTGGTGATTTTTACAGCCTGAAGTTTAGAAGAAAGGTAAAGACCCCAAATGCAAAGTGACACTCATCCTTATTGGGGTATGAGTTTGCTGGATCAGAAAATACCCTCAAGGGGAGAGATACACTTGGTGCCAGAATCTTGAACACTTGGAGAAGGGAAGGGAGCCAGGGAGGGCCAGGAAGGGCCCAGTGGCTACAGCAGAGGGGAGAGGGAGAACTGGTCAGCTCTGCTAACCTACATGGTGTTTCCTTAGCCTCTACACTGTCAACATCTGGGGCCAGGTCCTCTGTGCTGGCAACTGCCTGTGTAGTGCAGGACGCTCAGCAGCATCCCCAGCCTCTACCCACTAGATGCCAGCAGCATCCCCTTAGTTGTAGCAATGAGGAATGTCTCTCTACTTTGCCGAATGTCCCCTGGAGGGCAAGATTGCCCCCTGCCCGCCCCACGCCAAAGCCACTGCAGTAAACTGAGAAGGGACCTTAGCTCTGAGTAGAATCACCCTAATTTAAAGGTAAATTAGGACGAATAAGAAAAATTGCAGCGTTTAACTCTGATGTTCCTCTTTTTGTCCACCTGTATTTTTCTATAGTGACTGGCCACCAGACTCCAAAAACCCCAAGTTGCTTGGGTGAGTGGGGTTCAAAGCTGAAACTCTACTACAGAAGTGCAGTGGGACTCCACGGAACCTGTAAGTGTGGCCAGATGTTGGAGAAGTGGACAGACCCAAAAGGCAGCTGGGTGCCTGGCCGCAGGGATCCGAGGAGTCTCTTATGGTGAGAGTTGGGGGTGATACATGGATGGGCCAACTAGGGGCCACCCTGATTAGTGGGACCATCTGGTGAGCCTGCGCAGGGCTGGTGACCTTACTGGCTTAAGACAGAAGTGTGATGTTGCCTTGGCTGGACGGGGCCAGCGGTGAGTGGAAGTGGGCAGCACAGTCCAGCAACCCCTCCCCTTGTGGGGGCATGATGTTTAGAGTCTGCTGTTGTCGTTTTCTAATGGCAAAGTTTCTGAAGCACGGATTTCTGGTTCGGGATGGCCTCCTACCTGAGAAGGAGGTATCTACTGCATAGGAGCGAGAAGGAATGAGGGAGGGAAGTCTGGAGCTGCTGGCAGGGCAGGTCGGTCAGGGCTACTGGAGGCGGCAGGGCTGGGGGGAAGGGGGGAAGGACTGAAGCCATGTGCCTGGGTCTGGACCCTGTCCCTACTGGGACTGTGGAACTGGGGGTCCAAACCCAGGGCAGGGTCTCCTGGGTTCCAGCTGCTGAAAAAGCAGCAGTTTTCTCCACGTGGTGTGTGGTGCACCAGGAACAGGATGGGACAGGGCACTATGTCCCAGGTGAACCGCACTTCTGGAGAGAGGCAACCTGTTCAGACCAAATGGCCCAGGTGCCATAGGTAGCAAACCCGCTGGCTTTTTCGTCAAATAACTAACCCCACTGCAAAGATGTTCCTTCAGTGTGGTTCTGAACAGTACCACTGCCACCTGCAGAGATGTGGTCCCTTTCCTTGGTGGCCCCACGCATTACCCTGGGCTTCCCGAAGTCAGTCTTAGCCCTATACTGACGCCTCCACATAGAATCAGCAAACAATGGTTGACATGTTTACACTGGGGGATTCTTACTGCCAAATGCACAGACACATCCAGATTGTAAGTAGCTGCCTGTCAACCTCCTTTCTTAGCTCATCCCTGCATCCCCGGAAGCCCCAGCGCGGAGAAGAGGAGAGGAGGGTCCTCTGACGGTGGGGGTGGGCCTGAGGGTGGGCCAGGGGGAAGGAGCAGAAAGCAGGAAAGCCCACCCTTTCTGTTGGTGGCACTTCCCCCTGCTGTGGCCCTGAGAGGAATCAGTGCAGAACAGCCTCTGCAGCCCAGGCCTGTCATTAGTTGTCAGTGGGTTTCTTTCAAATGAGGGAAAGGAGGGTCTTCCCACCAGTTCTGAGGAAACGGCAAAAGGGAGAGGACACCGGGAAGAGAGCTGGGACCACTATGATGCTTCTCAGCCTCCCAGTGACAAATGGTTTCTGAGTGCTGACTGAGTAGCAATAAGACTTGAAGCCGTTCAATTAATTACTGTTGAGCTGAGATGCGCTGCATCCTCCTGCCTCCCGGCATCTCTTCTGCCAGCCTCGGCCAATGGAGGCAGCAGCAGCCCACTGCTGTCTGCAGAGGGGTCTGCACGACCAGGCTGTTTGTTGCAGGCTAAGGCCTACCGAAGGGGGGAGCGCCTCTGATGGGTGAGGGTCAGGAGCAGAGGCAGTGCTGATACTAAAGACGACGGGACCTAGGCCTGGGGGAATGCAGTATCTGACAGAGTCTGCTCTGGGGCCCGGTGGCCAGGGTCCCCCACAGTGAAGCCAGCACCTCTCTGGAGCTCGCTGGCTGTGCTCAGCCCTCATCTGCATGGGTTGCTCAGCTCTGCTGCAGCCAGGCTGGAGGCGGTCCCCTGGCCACCACGCTCGCGCTGTGGGACCAGACAGCCCCCAGCCTGTGCGTTCCTTCTCCAGATTCACTGGTGATGCAGCAGAGAATTTTGAGGGGAGAAGTGGCCATTCCAGAAAAGACAAACAGTACCAAAGGAAGGGGGCTAATAGAGGGGTGACATGGGGTTTGGGGTGCTGAGGGAATCCCGGAAGATAACTTTGGCTTTAGTGGAAGCTCTGTTTAAAATTTCCGTAATTCATGGTGGAAATTCCAGGCCCCCTGGGGGCTCTGGCCAACATCATTTGCATGTAAGGGGAATGGTATATTTCACCTTCACCCAGGGCCCCAATTCCCCAGAGCAAATTTTCCTAATGAAATCTAATTGACACAGCAACATAAACCAGGCACTTAGAGACCAGCTCTCGCCTGGGGGGGAAGAGAGACTTGTCTTCTTCAGGTGCTGGCAGCTCCAGGCCCTGTGTCCCTCACACCTCTCAAGTTGTGGCCCCTCCCTGAACCAAAACCTAAGATTTAGGATTTGAACTACAAAACAAGATTTCCTAAGGTGTAAATCTTTCTGTTTGGTGGAAGCGAGTGAGCTGCATGTATGGAGACTCCACTGCACCCATGGAATTGAAATTTCTGGGCCAGGTCTATAAGTGACTGGGGGGTGAGCAAGGTAGTGTACCTGAGCTCTCTCTGCCAGTGGCCCTCCACTGCTGTTCTCAGCTATCAAAATGCTGTCAAAGACTGCCACTTAGTGCCCCCCCCCCTTTATTTCTTCAGGTTGTACTGTCCGGCCCAAACATTCCCAGGCTTCGAGACGGCCACCTCCAGTCCTCCTCTTCCTTCCCTGGTGCTTCCCTGCACCCCCAGTTTGTTCTCTTACCCCCCAAACCTCACATCTTTGCCTTCTGCCACCCTCAACTCTACCCCACACTGTGGCCACCTGTTCTCTGTCCACGCAGCCTCATCTCACTTGTTCCCTTGGGCCTTTCTGACCCCCACACCCACCTGTCATCTTGTACCGTGAGCACCCTAAAATAAGCCCCTAGAGTAAACACTGGCCACGCCTACACAGTGGCAGGAGCGCAGCCTCCCAGGAGCAGAGAGCTGGCCCGAGAGGCTGGGGCCGGGGCTCCTGCCTGTACAGCCTGAGCCCCGACAACAGGTGACCGTGGCCCAGGGCCTTGGGGGACCTGAGTCACCGGGCTGTTGAGTTAACTAGGCACCACCAGTACCGGCCTCTGCACTGGAGGCTTTGGGGAAAACCAAAACAAAATCCAGTGAAAAGGGGGAAGCAAACATCAGTAAAATTCACCTTCTGTATAGCTTTGTATTGTGGGGCCTCAAAAAAGGTTAAATATCAAACAAAAATGAGATGTTAAATCACTTAATTTGACATGAGCCAGTTTTGTTTTGCAGACATTGGCTCTGCTTTTGCATCCATGCATTTACAATGGAGGCGGCGGCGTTTGGGGGCAGTGCAGAAACTCTGAGTCACTCCAGGGCTTGGTGGCACAGAGACAGCGCCACCGCACTCGGGAGTGGCTGGTCATCAGATGGCACAGGAGAGGCACAACTGAGAGAAAAAGTCCAAAAAAGCTCCTGGGAGGGAGTGATAATGGGGAAAAAAAGGTGGAGAAAATAGGTTTATCCTAACTAGCTGTAGCTGGTGAGCTGCTTGCTCCGGGCCTGGCCTAGTCAGGACACTTAGAGGTGTTCCTGAAGCACATTCAACACCTCTGGTCAGTTAACACGTGTGGTCAGCGCTGCCGTCTGTCTGCTGGCCCTGTGCCACCACCGCCCAGGGCTTGTTCTCGCACACAAAGAGCAGAGGGCGCAGGTGGGGGAAACAGCTCCTACGAGACCCACTGTGCCTCTGCCCGTGTCCCTCACAGGTTAGTCGCGGGGCACGGCGGGACCCTGTGTTCTCCAACTGGCCTCCTGAAATCATTTTGCCCCCAATTTAAAACCAGATTTGACAAACTCAGATTGGATCAACCCAAAACAGACTTCTTCACAACTGGTGCTTTTGACTTGAGCAAGCTTTGAAAAATGTTTTGGCTCCATCAACGTTAAAATTATTGATAGTCAAACGGGGCAATTCTGGGTTTCTTAAAGGAGTCAGCCTGTAGGCCTGTGGAGCTGAAAGGCATGCCGGGGACACCCCATGCGGCCGTGTTCCATGTGGAGAAACTGAGGCAGAGGCATGCTGGGTTTGACCCGAGGCTGCTGGGCAGACAAGGACTAGAAGATCCTCAGACCTGATGTTCTATGGCCCCATCTCTGGGTGTCAAGATTCGGAAAGAGTCACTGACCCTGCAGAGCAGTGGAGGGGTTCTACCCTCCATTCCGGAGGGGGATCACAGGTGTTGTTTGAGACTGGTCCCCGTGACGTCACTCCCTGTTGGAAGCTGCATCTGGTGTTAGGATTGTTTCTTGTTCTAGGTCACCTTTCTGTTAAAGAAGACCCACCCCCCCCCAGAGACCAGGGTCTCTGCTGGGTCTCCTCTCCATAGCTGCCCTCGTCATGAAGAGGGGCAGTGACACAAATCCACTCAGGAGCTTTAAAAAAAGACCTCATTCTTACCGACACTGAAGTCTCAGCTTTCTTCTTCATTAAACCTGCAGCACAGCTGCCGAAATGGGGCAGGGGGTGCGGGGGGGGGGGCACATCAAGTTCATTCAAGAAACATTATCTTAGACAATTCCAAACTTTAACATTTCTAATTCTTCAATTCTGATAAATATTAATTCAAAGTTTGCCAAAATGTAGAACGCACGCATGGCAGACTGTCGAAACCACGCAGTATTCAAACATGGCTACATGGTCTTCCAATGTGGAAAGTCAGGTTATAAGAGCAGCTTTGTCCAAGAAAAAGCAAGTTCCCATCAAGCAAATGATTGAAATAGTAAAGGGAAAACCCCTAAATATTGGCACACATCATCACGTTTAACTAATTTTATTCTCCTCTTCCTCTGTGTCTCTGTCTGCCTTTAAAATACTGTGGAATACTTGAAATATTCACCTCTGTGGTCAGCTATCAAGTCTGCCTTTCCGGAGAATCCCCTCAGCAGACCCGACCACATCTAGGCCGACCGGCCGGGGAGCCAATTCAAATGCTAACTTCAGTTTAGCAGGTGAGACAAAGGGCTGGTGGGCAGACTAGTGAGTTGGGAGTGCTTGGGGAACTTGCCAGAAACATCTCTGGAAAAGAAGGGGATGAACTGCCTCGGGCAAAAGAGGGTTGGGGGAGTGTGTTGCAAAGCCCCCCTCTCCTCAGGAGGGCCCTGGGCACTTCCCCAGGGGTCTGGCGAGGCCCTCAGTTGTTCTGCATGGAGCCTAATGGACCTCACGCCCTGGAGCAGGACGGAAGGAGGAAGTGGGGGAGGGGAGGAGTGTGGGGGTGGGGAACAGGTTTTCCCCCCGAGAGTGTGTGAAAGAGGCAAACTCTCTGTGTTCCTAGACGCCCCTCCCCCTCAGTGAACCTGTATGTTGCTTACGGTTTTTTTAGCCCACCTCTCCGTGCAGACTCGGGGGAGGGGTATGGGCAAGGCACTGAGCACTTTTAAAGAACTTGTTTATTCATCTTGTAACAAGGCAACATGCTAATTTCTCTGGTGAGAACCCTACCTCTGCAGAAAAACCGGTGAAAGTAGCCCCCATCTTTGAAAGTTAGCTCCCCACACTGAAAAGCAGCCCCAAAAGCCAACTGGAACCCCGGCTACTGCTGCCTAGTCACTGGTGAACTCAGGCTTTGCCCAAGGGAAAACAATGCTCAGCCACAGGAGGAAACACAGCATCACCGTAAGCAGGAATTCCAACTTTGGGGAGCTTCACTTCATTAAGCAATTTCACACGTTCAAGTCACCGGCAGGGCACGGCTCGGCTTGGCGCGGCACGCCTCACCCTCCTGCAAGTCCAAGGCAGCCTCCAAACTTACACTTCCACCCAGCCTGGGGAAGCCCCTGGCCAGCCAGCTGCCGGGGAGTATTTGCCCACTGGGTGTTTACAAGTGAAAGCCACAGCCGCGTGCGGCACTCGGTCGTCAGGAGCCCCAGCCACGGCGCACACAACTTAGTCCCAGGGCGCGGTGCCACCTTCTCTAGGGAGGAGACCTGGAAGGAAGACCGTTTAAAGGTCTGTTCCTTCTGGCTGCTTCCTTTTTTTAGGATTCTAAGAACCCGACCGCCTTTTCAAGCCTCAAAACACTCACCTTTGCCCCAAGTCATTCTCTCAGAATAGTTCAAACCCCAGGAAAAATGAGACGCGCACGCACCAAGATCGATTTCCAAATCAGGAGAGATGGTGTAAATATGTTTCACTTATCCGTCTTTCCCCCCAGGACTGGTGAAAAGGCACACTTTCTGCACCTACGACGTGTTACCGGACTGCAGCTGGTTTTGTGTTCGGACACAGGCAGTTTCACCTCCAGATCACAGATTTCAAACTTGGCTCCTCCCGAGCTGAAAATGGCCGGTGAGCGCTGCCTCCCCACCCCGAGGCTGCCTAAACTGCCGGCCCCTACCCCATCCTGACCGACCGCCCAAAGACTTGCGTTGGATCCCAAACCTTTCCCCAGCTCCGCGGGTGCCGCACTTTTGAAGACCCTTTGTAGGTGTCTTGACGATCTACACGACCCCTCTCCAGCCCACTTCTTGTTCTGCTTTACCTTTCCGAACATGAACACCTCTCGGGTCTCTCAACCCTCTCTCTCACCAGCAGGGCATTGCGCAAACAGCCCGGGACCTCTCCATCCAGGCTGCACCCAGCTCTGTTGCTGGAACAGCTGCGCCAAAAGGTTGGAGATACCCTGACGCAACGTGACCAAGCCTGCGCCGCACCAACCTCAGCAGCCCTGGAGGCACCCCCGAAACTCCTGTACCTCCTGTGCCTTCCCTCCAGGTATCGGTAATCTTAGGGAACCTCCTGGGGCTCTCGAGAGGTCGGCTCTAGGGTGCGCGAGGGCAGGTGCGCACGCTCTTTGTGGCAGCCTCAGCCCCGCCAGTGCCGGGAGACTGGTGGCGGCCAGGACTGGCGCACAGCCGCGTGGGGCACTGGCGCCCAGGATCCCGAGGCTCCAAATTGGAAGCGCCGGGACTTGGGCTCCAGGCTCTGAGTGTCTTAAGCACCTCGCGCAACTTTCCCCGGAGCCAGCTGTCTCCAGAGTTCTCGCCCAATGCTGGTCTGATCACTTCCCGCACATCGCAACAGTGCCGCTACAGCGCGGCTGCTGTGGCTTTTGTGAAAGTTGGCGCGCGCACCGCCAAACCACATTGCAGGCACCCGCTAAAGCCAACTTGTTTGAGACCAGCCTCTTCCAGGAGGGAAAAAAGCACAGGAAACAACTGACTTACCTGTGCGTTTGGGGTGTACAGTCGGAAATCTGGGGCATGTCCAGGATTCAGTTGTGCGTCCTGGGCACCAGCTCGGGGACCTCAGGTGTCTCCAGCGGGGTGCGAGGACCCCCGCTGTCCAACAAGCCTTTGGCCGCCCGGCCGCCCTCCGGTGCACTGGAGTGATTTGGGGAGCCTTTCCGGGCTCACCCTGGCCCCCCACTTCCCGGGATGGCTAGCAATGCCCAGTCACTTCCCACCTTCCTCCCGACCTGCCTTTCCTCCTCCTTCCCTTCCTCTCACAGCTCCCACGCCGACCCCAGCCTCCCCGGTTTCACGGTGGGTAACTCACCTGAATCAAAGAAAACAAGGAGAATCTGGACCGAGTCCTCCATTAGTGGCGCCGGATGGGGATGGGTCCCCTCTTGGAAGGGGACTCCGGGGATGGGTCGCGGTGGGTGGGTTTCCTGGGCTTGCAGCGACGCTGCTGCTGCTGCTCCTTTTTTGGCTCCGCGGATTCTTGCGGGTCCCTCGGACGCTGGTCCTTGGGTTGGGGCTCCTCCCGCTCTCTGGGGCTCCTGGGCTCCTGAGTGCTGGACTGCGCGCGACTTGGGGAGGCGTCGGGGCTCCGCAGCCTCAGAGCTTGGAGACGCTCAGTGAGCGACTGACCAAAGGTGCTCTGCTTCGGCACCACGGGGCCGCGCTCGTCCTCGGGCTCGGGCTCGGGCTCAGTGGTGGGGGCGGTCTCCGTCTCCGTGTCGAAGTCGATCTCAGAGTCAAGTTCTGACTCGGACTCAGATTCGTAGTCGAAGTCTTCCTCGTAATCTGGACACTCAGGGGGGGATGGGTTTCGGTCTGCCACCTCGTGCTCGGTGTCAGACTGGGGGGGCTCAGGGAACACCTGGGCGGCGGAGCGGTGGTGGGCGTTAAGAAAGCTCCGGCGCTGCTGGGCAGCCGCACGGTGCTGGGCGCGGGTGTTGGAGGTGGCAAGGGCGCGGAGGAGCGCGATGGAGCAGGAGAGCCAGAGGAGCGCGGTGGCAGCCCGGCGGCCAATGGATGGGCACAGATCGTTGTAATTGTGGCGAGCTCGGCGCCACTGGTGAGCCCGGAACCTGCGATCCATTCTCCTGGGCGCACACCGAGAAGCCCCGCTGCCCTCTGGCTCTGCAGAGAGCAGCTCCGGTGCGCGTGGGCTGCTGGAGCTGAAAAAGATGCACCTTACAAGGTGAGAAGCTGGGTCCGGAGGTCCCAGCCCCACCTCGGTGGAAGGGCAAAAAGGAAAGAACCTACCTTTCTGACCACTCAACTTTCTAAAGCTCCGCGCTTCTGCTGGCCTCTCTGAGCAGAAAGGAGGGATGGGGAAAGGGAAGGAAAAGTCTGCCTCCTCGCCGGCTCCTCTCTCGAAGTCTCAGACTCTACAGTCTAAGACTCGGGAGAGGTGCCTCCGCCGGTCCTCTCGCCTTGGAGAGGAGAGAGGAGACTGAGGCGAGGGGAGACGGAGAGGTTCTGCAAAGTTGCGCGCCCGGACTTCTGCCGGGCATGTGCAGTACGGAGGCGGGGGCGCCTCCCAGCGAGCTGCGCGGCGGCGGCGGCGAGCTGGTGGCGCAGACCCTAGTGGGCCGGCAGGTGGCAGGAGGGAACCTTGTTTGAAAGGATTTTGGCTAAGCGAGAGGCGGGGGGGCCTGGCGGGTGCCAAGGAGCAAGGGAGTGAGCCACAGGTTGGAGTACTTGGGCACCTGGGCATGGCAGGGGTGCTCCATGGGGTCCATACCCTCTCCCTGATTTCTCCAGTGTGCAGTCTTTAAAATGAACAAAGCCAGAAGCAGAAGCTCAGACCAAACAGAATTGCAGACATTCAGGGGAAATGAGGGTCCCTACGGGAGTATTAAGAATCCAGCCCTAGGCATTTTCCGAGGGCTTAATAGTTTGAGGTTGGTAACCTCAGGCAGTCATTAATCATGAAACCACCTTTGGCAGATCTGTTATAGTGACTATGATTTCAGAAGTTACCAAACAATTCGTCCCCCCCCCCCCCATACAGTCTCAACCTGCTAATTACCTCGTGGACAAGTAAGTACCATCCCTAGGAAGGGTCCCCACAGACCAGCCAGCAAGCCTGCCAGCCCACAGGTGGACCGCCCTGAGCGCCAGCCGAGAACAGGTGCTGGAGGCGTGGCTTCAGAAGCACCTTTCCTGCACTGGTAGGAGGTGGGGACAGTGATACCCCCCGACACGCCTGTGTGTGTGTGGGGGGGGGCAGAGGGTTGTTCAGAGGGGTCAGCTAGCAAGTAAACCTCACTGGGTACCCCTTTTAAAGCTCTCTCACAGGTTTTCAACAGCCCTTCCGGGCCCACCCATAGTGTATTCCAGCTTGAGTTCTGCCTGAGAAAGTGACGGGATCACCTAGAATGTTCAGCTCGGGGGACAGCTCAACACCCTGGAGCACGGTGTTGAACCCTAAGTGCTGAAAGGTTGGAGGGAGTTTATGCAGCTCTTCTCAGCCCCGGACAGTCAGGTGAGCCCCATGGCCTCGAGGGGAGCCCTGGAATGCCCTGGCGTTCCTTCTGTGACCGCTGTTCCTCCGGGGTTGTGCCTGCCCCCCTCTTAAAATAGGGCGCACCCCTTTGCCATAGTGGCAAGACCAAAGGTGGTAGAGCTCAGGGCAAAATCAATTCCTAGAGTCCACAGCCGTGTGGATGAGGCTGCTGCACTCGGGACACATAGTTCTGGTGTCTTTGGGTCCGTGTGGGGGACATGGGAAGGGGCACAACCTACTAGAACCGCTTTCCCTGCGGCCCACTGGCCACCCTCCCAGCGCTCCCTCCCTGTGGCCGAGGAGCCCCAGCTGTGGGCAGTGTGGTGGGGTTCGCCCCCGCGCCTAAACGCTGGGCCCACTTTCAGACCAGCACATTTGGAGTTAGGCGCTCGGTACAAGTCTGGCAGCAGCTCTGGGCGTGTGGAGGCTTTATTCCTCGTCTGGACTGGTCCTGACCTGGCTTCTGGACTGTGTCTGTCTGCCGTGTGGTGTCCTTCCTTCTAGCGTGGAGCATCACAGTGCTGACTGGTTGATAAAGTGGGGTTCAGCTGGCAAACCCCATGAAAAGCTACTGTCTGCATTCCAGTTGTGCTCTGTTCCAGTACTTTCCAGAGAAACTGAAAGGGTTTGTTTTATTGTCACAGGTGCCGGATGGCTCCAGTCACCGTATGGCTGTGATTATGGGATGCTGGACAGGGGCCTCTGCAGCCGGACATCTCAAATCCTGATCTCTCTGCCACGAGGGGAACATTTTAAAGGTTCTGCCCACAATGTCCCACCTGCTTAGTTTTTTTCAAGGAGCGCAGCCTGTTCACGGTGCACGGAACATAAGGACACATTCAGGTGGTTGCAGGCACACACACCGCTGGCGAGTGCCCCTGACATGGGGAGGAGTGCCAGCTGTCGGCACTGGTGTGGGCGATGCTTCCACAGTGCCCGCGAGGAGGCATTCAGCATGTCATGAGTGCTGCGTGCCTGTCACGGAGGTGGCAGCCCAGAGTAGGTCCACGCTCACACATGCAGTGCAACGGCCTGCATTATTCAAAAAGGTGCATTGCGTAACATAGTTCTGGACTCGATTCTGCATTAGTAATGCACGTTCTTTGCAAGATGCATTTTAATCAGCAAACGGACATTGGACAAGACACTGCACTGCTGAGCTCTGGTCCTGCACTTTGCAGATAGGTCTGGAGTCCGGCTGCCAGGGCTCGGGAGGAGCGGAAGGACTGCGCTGAAACGGTGCCGTCTCGCGCTGCGCGCCGAGGCCGAGCAAACGGGTCTGTGCAGAAATGCTCTTTAAAATGCATCATGTGCGTGACTTTAAAAAGTGCTTGCTGCAGAGTGAATTTCAAAACGGAGCAAGCTGGTGATGAACGACCTCGGGTTGTTAGCAGCTGAGGAGCGAGGGGCTGTGTCTGTCTGCCGGTACATACAGTGCGGACGTGCGTCACCGCCTGGGCTGTGCCGAGAGGGGCCCCAAACCTGTTGGGCAGGCATGTGGGTTCCCATCATTACCGTGCTGGACAGTAAGGTGCTTATTTGGAAGAATTTGAGGAATGTTGTCTTCAGCCCCTTCGAGGATTGTCCTGTGGAAGAGGCATTAAGATGTATTTTGAGTGACTCCAGAGGCAGAATTAGAACTGACGGGTGCTGGTTACAGCAGGCAGATTTTAGCCGAGCCCAAGGAGGACTCTAACAATTAGGGCTCTGGAATGGAACGGCTGTCAGGGCTGGGTGGCTCTTTGTCAGAAGCGGTCTTCAATCAAAGGACAGATGACCACATATTGGAGATATTTTCCATGGCACTCATGGACCAGGGAGGGGAGAGCCGGGTGCAGTGCGGGTTCTGATTCCATGAAAGGCACGTGGAGGCCCTGGGACGGGCGGGGGGCTCCTCCGACTCCGCTTCTATTTTAGAAGCGTTGGAAAGTGCAGTGGCTCAGTGACAGGAAGGAATGTTTGGGTGGCATCTCAGGACATGAGCAAACAGGTGTGTGCTGTGGGCCTTTTGTAACCAGGATAGGGCCCGGAGGCCCTTTGAGCCAAAACTCACTTGTTAAAGCAAAGAAATGAGCCGGGTCTGTCTGTTCGTCACGTTGGTCCTCTTTGCCTCCCTTCCCAGAGCAATCTTGGAAATTAAAAATGAAACTGGCTATTCTGCAATCATGCATTGGGTCTCTGCTGTGACCAGGACCTCATGCCGGCATTGTGAGGAGAGGCGGTCATGGAGAGCAAACACCCGCCACCCAACGGCACAGTGTGCATGTCGGTGTGGAACGCCCCCGAACGGTCAGCAGTGGGTCGCCAACAGGTGTCAAAGAATAAGCACATCCACACCAGATACGGAACCTGGGGGAAGCTGATGCTGGCAGTTACAGCCAGAGGCAGAGTTTAGCTGGTGGGCCTCTACCTAGAGATTTCCTTTTCTTTTTGAAGTCCCTGGAAGGGTTGTGTCCCATCCCCTGTCCCCTGGGTGCAGAGCTCTGTGCTGGTCACTCTGGGGAAGACAGGCAGACCCCATGAATTCTCAAAGGCTTGCCAGGCTCTTGTCGTGGGTCCCACGGACACCACCCATTTTCCAAGAGGAGACAGAAGGCCAGAGATTGGTTCTACGCTGCCAGGGGAGTGGGCACGATGGCTCTTGAGCCTGTTTTCTAGCCAGTCCTTGGAAAGGGCCGCTTGTCAGACTTGACTGTGGGTAGGAATGAACGGGGGGCTGGAGGCGCTCCCCACTCCTGACTGGGGCTATCACTGGCCAGGCCCCACCTCCTCCAGAATTTGGCTGTGCCCTCCCACCCACCCCGCAGGTCTGGATGTAGTGCGATTTCTCGGCTCCTGGTCCAACGGAGGTCCCTGGATGCCTCCTCGCTGGGGCAGAGCACAGCGCAGGCCTCTGGGGCCTCCCGCCTGTTTCAGCCCCAGCTCCAGCGTTCAGGCCGTTCGCCCTCTGTCCTAGCCTCTTGCCTGATGGCGTCCTGTCCAGAAGTCGGGACAGGGCTCTGTCTACGAGCTGCCCACCCCTCCATACCCGAAGCTCGTGCCCCTGGCCTGCCGAGAGGTCGGTATCCAAAGATCCCTGCAGCCCAGGTGACTCGTCTGAGATGCCCCCTCCTCCCTGCACATCCGCCTCCTCCTGCTGTGGGAGAAACGGGGCTGATGTGCAAGGGTGACTCAGCCCTCAGTCCCCCGGCTGGAGGGGGTAGCTTTTGTCCAGCTCTCCTGGTCATCCCACCTGCCCCTCCAGCCACTGGCACTGACAGAGGGCCTCAAAGTTGTTTTTCTCTCTTCTGCGGAGGCTCTGACTCACCCTGCAGACTCGGCGGGGGAGCGAGTCTAGTGGTGTCGTGGTTCAGACACACGCGCACAGGAAGCCTTTCCGCTGCAGCTCTTCAGAAGATGATTAGACCAATTTTACATGTCTAGTCGGCGAGGCTCTGGGAGAGGGGCTGTTTCTGTGTGTGCGGCCTGAAGCGGGGGATTGAGGCAATTACCTGCAGGCAGATGACTCTGGGCTCTGTAATCCGTCCATCCTGGTAACCTGGGGAGTTGGCTTCATTCACTGCAGAGCTGCTTCGAGTTAAAAAGAATTCTAAGGCATTTGTTTGTGTTTTGCTCTTGCTTTGTTTTTCCAAAAGGCAGTTGGTGTTAGGGTGTGTGGGTCCCTCAGGTTGCAGGACCCTGGCAACCAGACAGGTGTGTGGGCGTCAACCTGGATCGGTTCATGATCTGCAGCCCGTCACGGGGTGTGTGCAGACCAAGCCACCTCTGCTTCCAAGGTGCTGGCGCTTGGTGTCCCTTCCGTCCTTTCCTCCCACCATTCTCCCCCGGCCCACGAAGCCCCTGAGATGGTGGCCCAGATGGTCCACAAGGTCACCTCACAGCCAAGATAAGAGAGACCCCCATAGGGCCCACAGAGTCACATGCGCCACACACACTAAAGAAAACATCTTGAGACTAGGTGAATGAAGAACAGGTCTTCTCGTGACCGGAAATTAAAACTCATAGGCTGGCGACGACTTCTGGACCTTCCCCCCTCCTTCCATTGTTGTGGCTAAAAATCAGTGTATATTGGGGGTTTTCCCCTTTGCTGGTCTAGAAATTCTGTCACAAAACAGCCATTGCTCCTCACTCGGGAGGGCTAAGCCCAGAGTTTTCCAAATTGTAATTAACCTTGAGGACAACTTGGGTAATTAGGGAGTCAGGGGTCTGGCAGGGGAGCCCAGACAGGAGACTGCCCCCCAGCCCCCAACACACACTCACAGAGAACCAGAGGAATCTAATCACCTCCAAAGGTGCTTTGAACTAAAGCACCCTCAGAACAGAGCTTGAGATGACCCTAAGATACATATAGCAATCACACACTTGGGATTTTTTTTAAGACTGTCAGGAAATCTTCATCTCTGTCACTTTGAAATACTCTGTTGCTGAATTCATTTTTAAAAACAGAAACCAAAAGCTCCCTGTCCGCACTCGGGAGAAGAGGGTCTGGCAAGCCTCTCCCTCCCCTCGGACTTGCGCACTGTGGGTCGTGTGTGGTTCCGCTGGGAGCGCGTGAGTTCACCCCACCCGGCCCTGAGGTTGCGAGGTCCTTCCCGGTGGCTGAGGCTTTACCGCCAGAGGCTCCCAGCCTGCTGGCCGTCACTGCAGACCTCACTCCATCGTCCGAGGGGCAGGTGCCCCCACTGTGTGCCGCCTCGGACCCCGGATAGTGCCGCCCACCCATTTGCCTACAGGACCTCGGAACCGTTGTATTTTATCAAGTTCTGTAGTGGCCTGGCTGATATGGTGACTGGAATTGCATTCGGGCTCTAAACTAAGTTGGGAAGTATTGTCATCTTTTCCGCATTTATTTAGCCTTAAGCCAGAAGTATTGATCTCTCTCTTCATTTGAGTTTCTATTTCTCCCATTAAGGATTTGGGTTTTTTGTTATGTGATTCTAACACACCACATGTGGGGTTGATGTGTGACTAGTTATCCTATTTCCTGAGTATCTGGTACTTCTGTTGCTATTGTGAACTGGCTGTTTTCATTACATTTTCAGGCTATTTGTTATGTGTCTATAGGAATGGTATTGATTTTTGTGCATTCTTCTCATATTCTGCTACTTTTAGAATTGGTTGGTTTATGAGGTGACCAGAGGCCTATGCAGCAGGCACCTGCTGGAGGGTGTCGTGGAAGGGACCCCACCCCTGAAAGAGGCCCGCCTGGGTGGGTGGGGCTGAAGGCTGAGCGTCAGCGACCTGAAAAGAAGAAGGGCGGTTTTCCCCTCAGGCTGCATTTATCCCGAGAAGGGTCGGAGCTTCATACCTTTTAGTGTTTGGGTGCCATTTATTTTTGAATGACAATAGCAATTTGAGCTTTTAAGATTTTACAGGGTTTTATAAAGAGTTTTAAAAAGTTTGTTCTAAGACTTCCGCCAAGATGGAGGTGTAGGTGGAAGCACTTCGCCTTCTCACACAACCAAGTTTAAAAACAACAAAGTTTTAGCAATAAAAACGCAGCCAAACCACAGAAAATTGAACTACATGGAACTCTGACAACAACGAACCCTTCAGCCAAACCTGTAAGAGGGGCAGAGCCAGCAGCAGAGCGGGGGCGGGCAGGAAAGATCCACCGGACCTACCCAGGTGCGCCAGCAGCCGTGGGCGGATCCCAGGTGTGGAGAAGCGGGCAGACCCACTGAGGGCTGATCTCAGTCACACATTCACGCGCAGATAAACCGGTGAAGGAGCTAGCGGTGGTGAGATGGACCTCGCAGGCCCCAGTGGCACAAAGCGGGGGAGAGAACCGCCAATGTTCCTCTCTGACCCCGCTCCCACATACAGCGTCACAAAACAGCGACCTGGGTGGCCCCGCCCTGGTGAACAACTAAGGCTCTGCTCCTCATACTTAACAGGCATGAACAGATCAAAACATGGCTCAAGAGCAACTCAGAGCCCCAGAGCCGATAAATCTAAGTGATGAAGAAATAGCCAAACTTTCAGATGCACAGTTCAAAACACTGGTGATCAGGATGCTCACAGAACTGGTTGATTTTAGTCACAAATTAGAGGAACATATGGAAGCTAAACTAATTGAAATGAAGGGAAATACACAGGATATCAATAGTGATGGAAAGGAAACTGGGACTCAAATCAAAGGAGTGGACCAGAAGGAGGAAAGAAATGACCAAACAGAAAAGGATGAAGAAACAAGAATTCAAAAAGATGAGGAGAGGCTTAGGAACCTTCAGGACATCTTTAAATGTTCCAACATCTGAATTATAGGGGTGCCAGAAGGGGAAGAGGAACAGCCACCAGTGGAAAACTTATTTGAACAAACAATAAAGGAGAACTTCCCCAATCTGGCAAAGGAAATAGACTTCCAGGAAATTCAGGAAGCTCAGAGAGTCCCAAAGAAGTTGGACCCAGGAAGGAACACACCAAGGCACATCATCATTACATTAGCCAAGATTAAAATGAAGGAGAGAATTCTACCAGCAGCAAGAGATAAGGGGACAGTCACCTACAAAGGAGTTCCCATTAGACTGTCACCTGATTTCTCAAAAGAGACCTTACAGGCAAGAAGGGGCTGGAAAGAGGTATTCCAAGTCATGAAATCCAAAGACCTACATCCAAGATTGCTCTACCCAGCAAAGCTTTCATTCAGAATGGAAGGGCAGATAAAGTGCTTCTCAGATAAGATCAAATTCAAGGAGTTCGTCATCACCAAGCCCTTATTATATGAAATGTTAAAGGGACTTATCTAAGAAAAAGAAGATAAAAAATATGAACAGTGAAAGGACAGCGAACTCACAGTTATTAACAACCACACCTAAAACAAAAGCAAACTAAGAGGACAGCTAGATCAGGAGCAGAACCATAGAAATGAAGATCACGTGGAGGGTTAGCAACAGGGGAGTGGGAGAAGGAGAAGTGGGGAGAAGGTACAGAAAATAAGTAGCATAGATGGTAGGTAGAAAATAGACAGGGGGGAGGGTAAGAATAGTATGGGAAATACAGAATCTAAAGAACTTGAGACACGTGGTCATAAACTAAAGAGGGGAATGGTGGAGGAGGGGATGTACAGGGTGGAGGGGAATGAAGGGGGGGAATAGAACAACTGTAATGGCATAATTAATAAAATATATTAAAAATTAAAAGTTTGTTCTAATTGGGTCTTTAAAAAAGACTTGACTTAGCACATTAGAAGAACAAACCAGTCCCAGCCCCACGCTGCCTCTGAGATGCCTTTTGAAGTTGGCGCGCCCTGCGCTCGGAGTTGGAACCGCCACTGGGGCCGCTGGGACTCGGCGGTTGGGTGACGCCTGGTAATTCAGGACTTCGGTTCTGTGCTTTATAATAATCTTTGGTTCGTTATTTTGCATTCTAGTTAGTCGCATCACTTCGTTTTTGTTTCCGCCTCCCTCTTTTGCGGGTTTCCGCGCCTTTCCCCGCCCCTCACCCTGCACCCTGCACTCTGCACGTGTGCCCTGGGGAGGACTCGGCGCCTTCACTGTCGGCACACGGGGGGGGGGGGGGGGGGGGGGGACTCCCTCGCTGGGCATCTTTTTTAAAAGGGTTTTCTCTGAACACTTCTGACAGTGTGTAGGTGGGTGTCTGAAAACAGCAACAACAGCAAGCTGGTGTCCTGTGAGAGGGACTCAACAGAACAGCAAGGGTGAGAGGGGAAGGGCCAGATTTGGGACCGGCTGGGCCTGGACAGGCGTCTGGCCTCCTCCTGCTCCAGAGCTGACCGCTGGGGTCG